CTGAAGTACATGAGGCAAAAAAGGCTTCTGTTTCTAGCAAAGTCTCTCCCTTCATCATGTACAAGTTTGTTGCTATCTTTTCACCTTTCATCGCCACAAGCGCTCCACAGAACACCTTCATGATTCCTTTCCGTGTTTTAATCTTGCTTGTATTATTATCCAAGAATCCGTAGGATAATAAATTTTTCTTCAAGCCTTTCATGTGTTGCACATCTCGAACAACTTTAATTGTTCCATCATACATCTTCAATTTGATGGTTCCCATGCCAACGATCTCTAAGGCATAATCATTGCAACTATACACAGATCCTCCTGAGACAGGTTCATAATGATGGAACCATTTTCTTCTTGAGGTCATGTGATATATTGCTCCCGAATCAATGAGTCATATATCTGCAAAACTCTTTCTACCTTCCACGGTGGTTGACGCTTCATAACATAGAGCATCTCCATCATTTGAAGTGTTTGCGGTATTGCCTTGTGGATTAGAGTTTTTACCTAGACTCCAACAATCCTTCTTCAAGTGACCATTCTTTCCACAGTTGTAGCACTTTAAATTCTTCTTCGTTGATCTACTATGTTTGTGACTGCTGCTTTGGCCACGTTCTGTTGATCTCCCTCTCATCGTTGTCAATGCTTCTTCTTGTTGCAGGTTTACTTGTCTATCTTCCTTGTTCTTGCGCCGATTTTCTTCTTGTAGAACAGCAGCTGCAACGTCATCGAAGACTAGACTGGTGACATTACTGTTTGCCAAGTTGATGATGAGTTGATCATACGAATCCGATAGACTTTGAAGTAGAAGTTCAGCATGTTCTTGTTCTCCTATTGAACATCTTAAGGATGTAAGCTGAGAAAATAAAGTGTTCAGTGTGTTTAAGTGCTCCGTCACTGAAGTAGATTTTGGTATACGGAGAGTGTACAATTTCCTCATAAGGAAAATTTTATTGTGTAACGATGTGGCCTCGTACAGTTTGGTGAGGTGATCCCATATCTCCTTAGTTGTCTTCTTCTCCTCGATGCTTGACAATACTTCATCTGCTAATGCTAGATAAAAGTTTGACATAACATTCTCGTCCATTTCGATCCATTTGTTATCATCTGTGAAATCTACCAGCCTTTCACTGATAGCTGCTAGACAACCGTCTTTCCTCGGGATGGCATTCATCTCCAATTTCTACAATGAGAAATTTCTCCCATTAAACTTTTCAATATCAAATTTCGTTTTCATACCTTCTATTACGGATAGTTCCCACTATTTCACTATCGTGAATAGTTCTCTGGAACTTCAAAGAATGGGTAATAACTTCTTACTTTCTTATGTTTGTGGATCCACCTTTTGGTGGCAACCACAAAGAAAATAAGTAGATATTACGCACTCAAATATGGCTCTAATACCAATTGTTGCGGAATACGACTATCGGATAGAGAAAAATTGCAACCAATAATTTGAGAAAATAAAAATGAAGGTAAAGAATACACAAATTTTACGTGAAAAACCCTTAAATAATATAAGGTAAAAATCACGAGCAAAGGTAGAAGAATTTCACTATGAGAAAATAAGAATTACAACTTCTCTCGATCTAATAAGGAGATAACAATAATAATTCTCTCTTGATAAAAAGGAGAAAACAACTCTTAAGAAAACTCTTTAAATTCTCTAGTATTGGGATAAAGCTAGAATGATTTTGTAACACCCCAACCCGTATCCGACCCGGATCCGAGTCTGAAGTGTCACATTGACTTTTCAAAAACCTTTACTTGTATAAAATAGTGAGTAATTTAAAATTTATTATTACATATAACTTATTCAAAACCTTTATCGAACTATTCAGAGCTTATACAATATATTATCTTGAATACATGCCAACTAGAAATTTATGTATTAAAATACATATTATTCACATTTCTTCTGATCTGACCTTTGGTAAGAAGAACTGACCTGTCTTGCTCCACATTGCTCTTTACTCTTCTCACTTTGGTAACCTACGTGTGAAACAATCACACGCTAAGTCGATGACTTAGTGAGGCAATAAACATAAAATATAAACTATAGCTTGTAATCATGTATGAACCATTACTACTATCACTCATACCCTTATTCATGTAACAAATCCCTGTAACACATGCAATATATATATCATTACATATAAAAACATATACACATATATATTCCTCACTCATCATTTCTATCATTAGCCTTATTTCACTATCCATATTACTATCATTTATATGTGTTGATCATATCCTCTTGAACTTAACCTTGTTAACCAACATATGCTTCGTGTAACCAAACAATGCACATATCATCATATGACTCGTGCAATACACATATCAACATATATCACAAAAGCATATTTTTCACATGTAATATATTTATTGTTATATCTTTGTCTAGCTCATGTACATTTTTGAGAACTATAGATATGTGAGTTTATAGAGGTTGTGCACTAATGCTGTCACCACAGCTCGTATAAATGCACCGAAGTGCCACGTAGAATTGTACCGTAGTGCCGCGTATAAATGCACCAAAGTGCCATATAAGGTTGTCCCTAAGGACCACATATCATTCATTAAGAATCATATACATATACCAAGGATCAAGTATGTGTCTCAAAAGACCTCACACATGTTCCGAAGAATACATATATGTCCCGAAGGACCGCGTAGACCCTCGACTCTTGGCATGCCAACTATACCTCTAGCTCTCATGACACATAACATGGGCATTAATCTTTATGTTATCACACATTCACATATACACATAGTTTTTTTATTACATTTTTATAAGATCACACGTAGTCAAGTAGTTCATTTCCATATAAATCACACATACACGTAGATCACTTGCACGTAGAACATCTTTATAAAATCATATGATTCACTTTCACTTATCACATATACTTTTTCTTTCATATATCTCATGGCTCTTTATTTCATTCTCATATTATCACATAATCATGTAGTTCCCTTCTCCTATCACTTTGCATGGTTTTACATAAACATATATCATACCTTATTCATATATATATATCCACAAATACATGTAAGCCCATATTTTCTTATCTTATAACTTACGTTACATATGCATGTAATCTTATGACTTATTGTTAAATAACTCAAATAACATTGTATTATTACATACTTTGTTCCATAACCATATATTTACATACCTTATACTTACCTAGTTTACTCTATTTCACACATAGTCACATAATCACGTAATTTACTTACACATAGATCATTTTCATACTTAAATCATATACCACCCAATTCTTCCTCATAAGGTTATATTTTATATTCATATAATATCATATTATCCTATAAGTAAATACTTATCTTATGGTTTGGTATCATCATTTATACTCAATTCCCTTCACTAATATATTATTCTCATATTACTCTATAGTCTAATCTTATTTAACTCATCACCTTTCTCATATAGTCATATAAATCTATTATATTGATTCTTATAATTGATCACGTATACTATTAACATGTATGGTCACCTATCATATAACCTATTTCACATTCCCATGCAATCATATAGACCATTCATATTAATTCCTATACTTATCACAATACATGTATTCACACAATCATTTAAAACATATTGTAATATATATATCACATATACCCAAATCAAACATATGCCTATGATCATAAATTAATGCATTCTAATATAGGAAATAGACTCGTCGCAAGTCTTATTTCCATTAAACATCATAAACTAACTTGTATGCACTCACCTGAGCCTCACTAAGTTCCAATCCACTTTTATGCTTTCATCTCTTTCGATTGAATCTTGACTTGATAATCGTTCCGGGACTTGTTCGTGCTCGATATCTATATGATCATACATTGATACATATCAGTATCCAATTGATATACTCCAATCTATCATTTCGTAGACCAAAAGAAAGGTATAATTCTATTTCCCTTGAAGTGCATCGATGCATTCCTTATGCATCGATGCATAAATTGCATTTGATGTTTCCATTTTTAAGGGTGCATCGATGCACTTCCTGTGCATCGATACACACTGAACAATTTCTGGAAATTTACCCTTGATGCATCGGTGCACCTTGAATGTGCATCGATGCACATAGCCCAGAAATCCAATTTATGACCGAAAATCCCCTCTTTTCAACTTAATTACTTCATATATCATTCCATTTCGTATTCTTAACTTACTCCTATTCAAACTCATTTATCTCGTCTTGAACCTTAATATCCTCTCCTCTTTATTAACTTCAAGAATTATACTAGATTTCCAACATGTTTCAAAACTCATTTTATAACTTCATATCTCTTAATTTAACCCTTAACAAGTCAAATTTATCTTCCAATTTGAGTAATGAACTCTATTTGAAGATTTCACCCAAGAACCCCAAATCTTTAATCCCTCCTAACTCCATCATACTTTGATTTTAAGATAACTTAAGCTTTCCTTAAGCTTAGTTATCATATAATAATCAAAACCTAACCTGAAAATCAACAATTAATCCATAAACAAAGAAACTCACCTTTGAGCTTGGAGATACGGGAGGAGGAAGAAGAAGAAAGAAAACTCTGGATAATTCTCCTTTTCCACGTGGTTCCTTATCTTATAAAAGAAATATAAAAATCTTACTTGTCAATTGACCATTTTACCCTTTAATTCATTCCATAATTACTAAATAACCTTCATCATATTTCCAATAAATCATTGAACTATTCAATTATCTTACTTTAATCACCAATTTCTAAAACTTTACAATTTGGTCACTAACCCGGTATTGAGGATGTTACAGATTTGGGATGGTTTTGAAGCTAAATGGGTTAGGCTATTTATAGTTTAAGCTTAAGGATTAATCTTGTAAATATCCTAAAGTAAAGGGATTTTACAATTTTTCTATACCAAAAGTCATCAAAAATTGCTGCCTAATTTTTGGTGCCTACCATTGTTGAAAATTTCATTCTTTTATTTTTCAACACTTCATGCACAGAAAGTGCATGCTTTCAACACAAGAGCCTTTAGTTTTTATTTTTAATATTTTTATATCTAATTAATATAATCATTTTTAAAAGTTCATTAGTCAAATATTATTATGTGTTTGGATAACAATAATACAATATAACTAATGCTATTAATAATATTAAATTTTAAGTTCAAGAGCCTTTAATTTTAATATTTAATTTTATGAATAGTTAAATATTTTTTATATTTTACAGACAAAATAATGGCGGCTTATGAAACTCTTCACTCTTTTGTCAAGAAATGTATGGGTCGTTCTGGTTTCTTTGCCCTAAGGGTGCGTTTGGTTCACGGAATGTAAGACTACCAGTGGGAATAAAAGATTACCAGGGAATATGATTACTGGGAATGTTGTATTTTGTGTTTGGTTGGTTTAGCAGGAATGTAAGATTACCGTATTTGGTTAAAGGAATAAAAGATTATTGAAATATATATTTGACCAAATTGTCCTTATTATACATTTGTATAATATTACAAATTGTAAAATATTTATATATTTTCTTTAAAAAATTAAATTCATAATATTTATATAATTTTTTTACAAAATTAAAAATATAAAAAAGGTTTAATGAAAGGGTAAAAAAAATTTTAATCTCTGAACTTCATATAAAATTTTAATTATAGACTTTTTTTTGTAAATCTAAAATAATTTAAGGATAAATTTGTAATTTAACCTTCGTAGAATTTTTATTATTCAATGACAGAAGAAGGATATTTAAAAAAAATAAAAATTTAAAAGCATTTTAGTCCAAAACGCTGGTAATGTTACAATACCTAAGGAAAGGGATGTAATGGCATTCCCGGTATATAGCCCAAAAAATCTACTATTAGTAACAAAACATTTCCGGGAATGAGATTTCCGGCCAACCAAACATGAGAATGTGGAATCCCACACTCTTTGAACCAAACTCCCCTAAAGGTTGATTTGAGCAATGCGTACTATATGGTGGAGTGGAGATTGATTTGGGAAGTTATGGCATGTATGGGGTTTCACTCTGACTGGATCCAATTTCTGAAAATGTGTGTTTGCTCGGTTTCTTATATATGCTATTGGGATCAATGGAATAACTAGGGATACGCTCTATCCGCAGCAGGGTCTTCGTAAAGGGGACCCGCTCAGCCCGTATCTGTTTTTAATTTGCAGCGAAGGATTATCCTTCCTTTTCCGGCAACCGATTGCATCGGAGAGGCTACAGGGTGTTCGAATCAACAGGTATGCACCCGTGGTTTCTCACCTTCTGTTTGTGGACGATTCTTTAATTTTTAGGGAGGCTAATGCGAGGGTGGCAAGTGAACTTAAAGATATTCTCAGGATTTATGGCAACAGTTCTGGTCAGCTGATAAATTTTGAGAATCTGATCTGTTTTTTAGTTCCAATGTAATCGAGGAAAATAGGGCTGATGTGAGACGAATTCTTGAAGTTGATAGCTCCTCCAATCCTGAGAAATACTTGGGCTTGCCGGCGTTGGTGGGTCGCAATAAAAGTCAAGCGTTCGCTTATTTTAAGGATAGACTCTTGTCCCGTATTGATGCCTGGAGCGTTCGGTTTATCTCTCACGGAGGGAAAGAAGTTTATTATCAAGTTTGTGCTTCAAGCGTTCCCCGTTTACATTATGACTTACTTTTTACTTCCAAAGTGTATTTGTGATGAGTTGGAAGGACTAATGGCTTAGTTTTGGTGGAGGAAAACAATGATGAAGAAAGGGATCCACTGGTACATATGGAAATCTTTGTGTTATTTGAAGGAGAATGGAGCCTTAGGGTTTTGGGATTTGGCTAAATTTAATATGGCTCTATTGGCAAAGCAGGGGTGGCGGTTGGTTATGTCTCATGTATCGCTTGCGAGTTGAATTTGTTCTGGTCATTGATAATGTACACACATTGTTATGTATTTACTTTAGTTTGAAATTTCTAGATAGGAAAAACATTCTATTTTTATTAAAGTCGTCATTGACATTTTCGGAGCCTTAAGCGAAAACTCAAAAATATGCTTTTATAAAATGAAAGTATATTTCATTACTTTAAATAATTAATTCAATAATATATAAATAAATCATAGAAAAATGATTAAATTTTGTGAAAAATTATTATTTTTATTATTTTATTAAGAAAACACCTTAAATACAACTAAAAGAGGATAAAAAAATCAAATGCATGTATGATACATAGCTTGATTTTGAATAATAAATAAATAAAAAGAATTGTACATTATTTTATTGTTAGATTGAGAATGAATAAGACTAAAAATAAAAGAATATTTGATAAATTGGAGGCTAAGATTTGAAAAAAGAGAGAGAAAAATATGATTAAATTTAATTCAAAATTGAATAAATGAATAAATAAGAGAAATGGAAAAATGGTAAAAAATTAAACATTTTATGAATTTATAAAAATCAGGGGCCTAATTATAAATATAAAAATCGGTTAAATTTAATTCAAAATTGGTAAGAGAAATGAAAAAATAGGATCAAAAACTAAAATTTATGAGATTATAAAAATTAGAGACTTAATTATAAATATAAAAAATTGGGAGACATAATTATAAATACAAAAAATTAGGGGGCCTAAGTGGTTGCTCAGGGTGTTCCCCTTAGAGCTGGCCATGCTTTTTATTATTGAGTTCACTTAATAAGTTCTACCGCTATTAAAAATATTCTAAACCATTTTATAATAAATGCTTAAACACTCATGTAATTTTTATAGATAACAATTATCTCTTTAATCATTAAGGCAACTATGTTCGAATAAAAACATTAAATAATTTATGATAGTACATAATTTGATAGAATTAATCTCGACTTAAAACTCCATCAAAACGTATAGTCAGTCGCGGTGAGAAATTAGTTTAAGAGGGCCCAAAGTTGAATTGCATAATTTGGAGGGACTCAGAAGACATTTTTTTTTACCCTTATATCAATTTAAAATTTATTATTTTTGTAACGAGTAGCAGCCAATTAAAGCATTTTGGGGGTGAAGATCACTCTTGCCTTTTTCTCTCCTAAAACGGTTAACCATTTTAACGGCTTTACATAAAATTAGTCTTCTGTTCAAAACTGGAATTTGCCAATTACCAGTGTTTTTGTTTTTATTTGTTTCTGATATATATATATTCCATTAATTAGAATCCAAAGGTGTTTACACATTTATTATTTTTATTTTTATCAAATCAAATCTAAAGGTGTTTTAGTCATTTAGATGCGTTAGTCTTTTATAAACAACCCAGATTAATATTATCCGTAGATAATAGATTAATCAGTTTATGTATTATTAATAAATTGGAATTTAGACTGTAAAAATATTTGAAAATACTTTGAAAAATATATATAGTATCATAATATCAAAATATCAAGGATGGATGCATTAAGTCCCCTGGGGCCAAATGGATCCCCATTATTTTGAAAAAAATGATTAAATTTAATGTAATGGATAAAAAATGAAAGAAAAAAAGATATTATTTTTAATAAAAAAATATCAAAATTTTAAATGTAAATTTTAAATATCTGGATCTACCTCATAACGATACTAAAATAAGAGAAATAATTTCACTATAAAAAAGAGAGAGAGAAACAATGGTACGACAGAGCGTACTTTGGATAACGTTCAAAGAGTGGACTCCTGGAACACTGCATGCCCCATGCAGTGCCATGTTTTTCAATGGTCAAGCTTTGAGGTTCGTGAAATTATTGTTTCGACCCCCAACAACTCTTTTTCTCTTTGAATATGATATCTTTTACTGATTCGGTTGGACTTTTTCCAGTTAAATTATCAAAAACTTTACTGCAAATAATATAAATATTTCTGCACCCAACTGTTTTAAGTCTGACATTGAAGTTATCTGGAATCTTGGAGCTCACTGTGGTTAGATTTGGATGTTTAAAGGGAAAGGTAAGAAGTGATTTGAAATCGGATTTAACATTTAGTTCAAACCGAATCAATGGCATCCTTGAAATTATGAGATATTAAATGGAGTCAAGATAATTCCAGAACAAGGAACACAAAAAGTGTCGGTTGTGATTGGAGAGAGCCAAACTTTGTCATTATATGAAATGTATTGTTTAATCTAGTGACGATTGACAAGTATTTCTTTTTTAATTTTTTAAAGATTATTACTTTTCTTTTAATCAAATTCGACAATACCAATGTTAATCAAAAATAACTTTTAGAATGTGTTTGATTTATAGAATGTAAGATTATCCGTGGGAATAAAAGATTACCAGTGAATATGATTACTGGGAATGATACATTACTGTGTTTGGTTGGTTTGGCAGGAATGTAAGATGACAGTGTTTAGTTGAAGAAATAAAAGATTACTAGAATATATATTTTACCAAATTGTCATTGTTCTATATTTGTTTTTTAACAATTGAAATTCTAAATATTTAAATAAAAATTATTTATATAAAAATTCTATTTGTTGATAATATATTACTTAAGTATTTAAATATATCATATTATTTTAATTTTAATTAATATTAAATTTTACATAATTTATGTAAAAATATATTAAAATTTTACATCAACATTTAACTAAATGTTTACATTATGGAAATTCTTCATAGATATTCATAATAATAAAAATATAAACTATTTGTTATCTAAGATATAATATTTATTATATCTTCTATATACAATAATTTATTTATTTATCTTTTATATTTATACTTAATTTTGCATACTTTATCATTATTATTTATCTCATTAATTTATATTACAAAAACATAATTCAAATAAGTAAGAAAATATAATTCAAATATTTCTTTTATATTTTATCATCTTTTCTCTATTTCTTCTACTATTATCACTCAAGATAATAGGAAGCTCATTACATAAGCCCTTGGCATTCACCGTTTCGGATAAATATTTTTATATCACTTATTTAAAGTTTAAAAATACTAATAGTTTAATGTTTTTAAACGATTTTGAATTAATATGTTTTTTAATGGAATAAAATATGCTCTTATATTTGTTTATATTTATGAATGATTTACAACCACTACATTAATCGATTCTCGATTGAATTGGTTCGATTAAAGACCATATTATCAAGGAACCTAAATAGAAATTCAAAAGCCATAAAATAACTTGTTCATCCGTCTTTTTTATTTCAATTTTTGGTTTTAAGTACAATTCTTCGGATTTCCAATTTTATAACCACTAGATCAGCCGACTCTCAATTGAATTGGTTCGATTGATCGATCGAATTAAAAACCCTATTAACAAAGAACCTAAAAAGAACTTACTCATCCGGTTTTTCCTATTTCAATGTTTGGTTTTGGTTTTGAAGTTGCTCACAACAATTCTTCAAATTTTCAATTTTAGACAGATGAACCCCCAGACCAACCGATTCTCGATTGAACTGGTTCAATCTGTCAAGAAAGATATGATGAAACAAAGTCAATAGCTAAACAGTGACTCCAAGTAAACAAGCTACCATTTTTTTTATAGGAAAACAAGCTACCATTTGATTGTTAATTAGTACATTTGCTTCCATGAGAAAGATGAAAACTTGTCTGGACTAAACGATACTTGTATATTATCACAATACAATACTGTAATTCTTCTGGATGATAAAACAGAAAGTTTTACAATCAGTGTTTTGTTTTAATCTCATTTGGTATCAATTTTTGCTATCTATCATTTGATTTCACTTTTTAGGAAGTAGAAAGCAAGTTGTACAAGGAACAACCAAAAGGAATCCAAACTATCAAATATTGATAGAAATAGAACGACAAAAAAAATCAGCATTTAATGAATTTTTATTTTTGTAGCAAGAATTACCATCATGAAAAGGAGTATCTCTTGAACATTTTTATCCGATATGGTGTATAACATCGTATAATTTTTTAGGTCAAATACCTTGTATAACATCGTATAATTTTTATCCTATTCTAAATTTTGACACAAACAGAAATAGAAATGCCCGTCCAAATAATTTTATAAGTGCGAAAACAAGGTTCCTACCTCAACTAAATGTTGCACATACACCAGACTGGGCAAGAGAAAAAACAATGTCTTGTGCAGCAACGATCTCTATAATCTTTGATCTCTTCCTCAGACACGGTAATACCATCAAGCAATGTCCTTTTGGATCATGAGTATCATATTTCTCCTGCATATTACACAACATATCACCAAATATAATAAGCAACCTCAATAAGAACAGTAATACGTAGAGGCTAAACAGGTACCATATCACCCATTGACGTTCAAAACTTTTAGCTGATAGACTTCCAAGTAAATGAGAGGAAAGGATGTCCTGTATCTCCTACTCAATTAATATATTACTATTCAACAAAAGGTAAACTGATTTAAATAGCAGCAATATAACATGTTTACCGGAACACCAGCAAATGGAAATAAAGCATCTAAATTTCAAAATCAGCCAAGGTATTCTCCGACATTTCTTACTCATTTCTCAAATAAAGCTTTATTAGCTATCATTCAGGAACTTTTCATTTAACGTCAGGAAGACACAAAAGTCCCACCCTTTTAAATGTTTTTCTTTTATAGTTAACAGCATTAAAGATTTCAACCAAAAAAAAAAAGAAAAAAAGAGCAAAGTTTGAACAACGGAAGTACACGAGGCTTGCACCAGTACCTCGTAAAGATGAAATTGAAAATTGTAGGCGCTCCATCCATTTCAGTTGTTTATTATAAACCAATGCAAAACTTGGAGTAGAAACTATTAAACGGATAATATGTATCAAATCAATTTTAACATTAAAGATGCAGAGCTAAGAGCCGTTGTTCTATAAATTCGCAACTAGGGCTAAAATGTTCAAATTTCTATCGCAATTTCGAAAAAGAAAAGGAAAAGGACGAGGCGTTAAGCTAAGGTTTGGACGAGTAAGATACCTCAACTAAATCTGTATATCATAATAAAGAAGAATTCTCGAGCAATTTGAACAACAAAAAATCAGAGGAAATGGAGAAAAAAAGAATAAAAACTTAAAAATGCAGAAGGAAATTAGCGCAATGATAAAAAAGAATTAAAAGTTAGGGCAAAGTTAGGGCAAGTAAGTGAAAAAAAGAACCTGCAATCGATGTTACGGAAGCGCTCCTGGGCGTCGCTAATGGAGAAAGCACGGTGTGGCTTAGAGCAGATTTCTCTTCGTTGAAGTTTCTTGACACTGTTAAAGAAGGCATCGGCTCTCCATTGAGAGAGAGCGCGAAGGCAAAAACAACGTCGCTGGGAGAAGAAGATATCGCAGAGGCAAACAAAAAAGAAGGGTATTTTAGCCTTTAAAACACGGGAATAAATGAATACCTAAGGAGTGTGAGGGAATAAATTCCCAGGAATATTTACTATTGGGAAAGAAATATTACCCTCACTTGGGAAAGAATACCCAACCAAACATGGGTATCATTAGTCAGGAAAAAAATATTCCTACTAGGAATCCTAAAATCCTCCATCCAATCACCTCCTTAGTGACTTTTGTGAATGACAAACGCAACTTAAAAACACCGCTAATGATTGAAAACACGTCGCTAAAAACCTGTTTTGTACCAACTGCAGAAAATGTGAGTGTGTGCATACAGACTTGGAGGGGAAGGGAGATATGTGGAAAGCAAATATGGCACTAACTGAAAACAGGTAGCAATATCACCTAAAATCTTAAAGCTAGTAAAGGTAAAGAAGGTGAAAAGTTCATTATATGGAACCAAACAAACTGATATAAGTTGCGATTGTATTTCTCCTCTTATTCAGACATGCAACAAATCTGAGCTCTGAAGCCACATTTGACCCCCACCTGTTAATTATGAGCTAAGATGTTATATTATATGAGGTATGGGCTGATTAAAGAAGCGCTTGTGAATTATATCAGAATACCCAGAACGTCTTTAAAAAGAAAAAAAAGAATGCCTAGAACCAGTGAGGTTGCAGAGAGCTAATGTGGCCAAATAAACCTAGAATGAAACCAAGTTGCATCTAAAAGATAGAAATATGATAGAAAGCATCATGAATGCAAACAAAACAAGAGAGAAGTGCCATTGTGCCTAGAGGCCACTGCAGATCATAAAATGTACGAATTTCTAGAAGCCAAACCTAAGTGTGTTTACAATTAAGAGAACCACGAGCCCCAGAATTTTTGGAATATAGTTCAATAACAAACAATTAAAATCAATCAGGTTAAAATCCAAAGTAAAGTAATGATTAAATCAAAACCCTAAAATACCAAGAAAAACCAAGAATCACGGATCAAAACGATACTATTACAGAGAAAATAGTAGGAGAGAGAAAAAGAGAATACATACGGGAAGGAGCGTAGCTCAAGGCGGTTTCGAACCATTGCGTGCTTCATCTTCCGATTCTCCTTTCATGAAATCAAAGAAACATCGTGTCGAGAACTCGTATAACTGGTCGATAACTGTGGCCGTCATAACGCTTGATCCGTCCATGAGATTCTTAAAACGATGAGATTTTTTCTCACTGTTTTGTTTTGCTGGGGGAGGATTGAAATTTGGTGAAAAGAGATTTTCTTCAGTCTCCGATTTAGGCACTAAAATTGTAAATAGCCATAATAAAAATGAAAAAGGGTTAAAATTGAAATTTTTGTTTATGGACGCACAAAATATGAGTATATAGTAGCGTATAAAGTATAAATCTTTAACAGTATTTATATTAAAAGACCACTAAAATACAAATTTATAGTGATGTTTGTATAAAATACGAGTTTTTAAAAGTATTTATTCAAAAAAAAAACGCAGCTAAAAATACCACAATAAACTTATTTTTGTTGTAGTGATATAAATAAAATGATAGTCAAGCAGAGTCCAGAAACAACAGAACGATTTGCGTGAATATGACTTTGCTTACCCTGTGCTGTGAAGAAGAAGACGATAGACGAAACTGGAGAGTGCATCATAAGATTCCAAATCCTTGTAAATAAATAATAAAGTAAAGGTGAAAACCGTAAGTAAAATGACTGGGACATTGACCGCTGATTCAACAATGATTTACTTGGATAGATAAGAAACACCAGAAACTTTCCAACCCATTTGTCTGTTAATGTTTATAAGAGTAAACATTATCATTGTATGCTTTTTGTTCATATATATTCAATGTATCATTTCAAATTTATCAATATATTCTAATATACTATTTTTCATCTAGTTTTAGAACCTATGTTCGAATTTCTAAAATAGTATTTTATACATATATAAATATACTTCAATCATGTGCTAAAGATATATTTTATGTAAAATGGAATTTTAAAATTATTAATTTTGTCCATTAATTTAATGATCATATTTTATCTTAAAATTGATTGCATATTCAATAGAGTTTGAATCAAGTAGAAAAAATCGAGTTAATCGAATTGGAAAATATAATTTTAATTAATTTTTAAAAATCAAATTGAATATACTTATATGAGTTTTTTTATCTATATTTATTTACGATTATTTATAATATTATGATATTAACTAATTTTAATTTAAATTCCTCTCTGATCATATACGACATACATATATATTTTCCATATTATTTTTGTATATATAAGTAAGATTTCTAAAATTATTTAATAAATTGAATATCATCTAAACATATATAATATATTTATAATGTTACATTTTTTTTCCTAAAAGAACATATTTGATGAATATATTGGCTTCAAAAAGATGCCGAAGAGAAGAACAGAACAATTTTCATTGTTTATTGGTCCAGTGTTTTTCTGAAATGAATCGTTTTAATCAAAGAGATGAAGAGCCCAATACAAACAGAGACCTTACCTCCATTAATTCAGCTACAATAATAAAGGGAAACCAAAATTCAAAAGCCTTTTATTTATTTTGTATATACTCTGTTTTTCCCAATCTTTTCCACCTCAGCTGCACTCAAATGCCTAATTCCGTTCTCCTTGATCCATTTCTGTCCCCCTTTCAGGCCGTCTTGAAGTTGCTCCTTTTCCATCTTCAACAACTTCAAGCCGTCGCCCACTTTGGGGAAGAAACCTTGGGGCCTCAGACACCATGCCCTGAATACCCCAAACAAAACCTCCATATCATACCCGAATCTCTCCACTCCGTCGTCATGGAACTTCGCATTGCTGATAAGAATGCCATTGAAAATCAACCGATCCACCCGAGAAGCCAGGCTTCTCCATATTCCAGGGAAGTCTAGTCTGTTCAAATTTTCTTCTATTACCGACATTTTTGCCTGCAAATAATCCAGGGCACCCACCAATGTTTTCGATACAGTCCACCCTTCTTCGCTCGTTTCCTGCCATTGTCTTCTGTTCTTTATGTAATCCCTGCATAGAGATTCAAATCCTCTTAAAATAACTACAGTTACCTTCTCAACCCACTGTGTTCTGAAATCCTCGATCGTAACAATCTCCTCATGGAAAATACCATTTCCATACTCCTCAATCGGACCCTCACTACCACTATATTCAGCAACAGACCCTCCAAGATGATCACCTTGATCCAATGCCATCTCAAGGAAAAAAACATCTTCACACCATTCTTTTAAAATAGATTCGGAATAGTGAGCTGCATTAATGGAGTTCGAAACTTTGATTAGAGCGTCATCATCTGTTAAGGCAGTCAATCCTTCAGCTTCTTGGCATCTGAGAAGTAAGCAATCCAAAAGAAAATTTATGACTGGTATACCAGTTAATCTCAAAAACCTTGATCTCAAAGAAACTGTAGGCAATGATAGACATCGTTCAATCAAAGATGATAAACACTTAAAAGTAATGCTGGAAACTGCAGGGGATTTATAATCATCAGAATTAGAGAGGTCTGCCCCTTGAACCTTCTTAATCCAGTTTCTTTCGTCGTCTATTTCTGGTTTTAGTTTTTCAATTGCGTCATCTAGATCTATTTTTGCCCATATATCGAGCCAGTCAGGTCGATCACAGAAGACAGATAGAGATGAAATCTTACATGGGGTCCCATCTTCCTGAAGGGAAAGCAAGATCCCGGATTGTTCTATGAGAGACTTTATACGTTTATCAAAATTGACCATCAAGTCAATAAGATTAAGCCAAGATGTCCTAGCCTGAGACTTTAAATCAGTCGCACTCTCTTCCTCCAGTTGCCTAATATAAATAGGGAATATCTCTTTCGCCAAATATGTTGATAAGGATGTTACCATTGATGAAATCCATTCTTCTCTACAACTGTACCCAGTCAGCAGTGACTCATCGACCAATGGTTGCAATAACTCATCCATTGAATCAACATAATCCCTTGTAATTTTATATACCAGAGCAAAAATGAATTCTGGTTTATCAATCCACTTTGAAAAGTGGCGTTGGCATGCAATAGATACAGGATTGACAAGCTCTTCAACGGCCCAAAGTGGTTGATGAAGGGCAACCTCTCGATTATGGCCCTCAAGTTGCCGAGATTTTCTTTGTCTCTGCAACTCCTGCAGGCGGCACAGGGCAAGAAAGTTCTCACAATACCTGTGCTTGAGATCACCATGCATTGTAAAAAGAGGATTTGTGACTTCACTTGAAGTCTGTGTATCCATATTTGAGGAAGTCAAATTGGAAAGTGCCGGTGGCCATCCAAAGGACGTGAGAAGGGCTCGGTGATCAGCGATTGCCTGGGGTCTTAATATTGCTAGAGCTCGATCTACCCTGTGATCAACAGCTGAGACTAGACGTGCCCATTGAGGCCGTGCCTTTGTCACTGAGGTTAACAAGTCTTCTGTCTGTTTGAGTGTTTTAATAGCAACCAGGCGGGTTTCCTGCAACATCAAGAAAGGAACAGGTTTATGCAAGAAAAAGAATAGCTTCCATGAGTGTGTGTGTATGTCTTTGTATGTTTCTAAAGCTTACTTCTGGGTTTCGTGCTGAAGAATCCTTTCTCAAATTTTTGTTCATCGTAGAAGAGATAGCATCTTCAATATCACCAATTAAATTATCAAGCTTTGATGCAACCTCTGGTAGAAAAGATAGTTTTCAAGGTACAAAAAGATGGCTGAGAGCATTAGACCACAATTGTATGCAGAGGCAAAGGAAGGAAACAACAAAAATGAAAAACTAATTAAAATTAAAAATACAAGAGAACTGCATTATTCTGAAAATCTTGCTAATTAGTTTCTATTCCAATCAAAGCATTATCTTTATCCATTATTGAGAAGTTACAGTCAATGTCTTTCGCCTAAGAATAATTGAAATTGATCTCTAGCAGGAAGAAAATCTTAGTAGGAACAAGGAAGATATTAGTTTCACTGAACCAAACATAATGTGCCACGTCATGGTTCTCAAATCTCAAAAGTGTATTTTGACCATTTCTGAATAAATCATATCACAAAGCATGGAAACATAAACCAAGAATGGACAAGACGTGGGTGTTACATATGTTTACTCCGCAATTGATGCCTAATACACTGTTAATCAACAACAAAACTGCCAAATCAAAGTACAGGTTGATGTAGCCCACAGAAACACCTTTATATAATTGATTTGAAACTGAACATTAAGAAATAGCTGATAGGTTCACATACAATCGATGAAATAAATCTTAAAAAGGAATCGGCATATTCCAATTAGCAGCAACAATAATGATATCTGTATTACAAAACCAACCTAGCCAAGCCCATAGCAGCAAAAGGCACACTTATGACATGTATGCACTAACAGCAGCCTAATTCTTGGTCTATCATATTTGATTACATTAAAACTGTACAAATGTTACTACAAACTAAGCTACCGAATAAAAATTCTACCCATCATACCCAATTGCTAAATTTGCCCATTACACCAAATTGCAAAATTTTGCAGCAAGATAGGTACAAGCAAATGTGCCACCAGTGACTAACAGACCACCAATGTTAGATTCTAAAGAAGCTGGATATGAATCATCCGTTGCCTCCTTTTTTGTATTTCATTAATTGTATTTTGTTTGATTAAGATAAGTTCTATAAATTGTAAAAAAAAAAACAACTTCTTTAAAATATCAAACACATAACGTAAATATTGGAGATACAATAGTTAGATCAGATTAGCAAATCATTTTAGAAACAATTGAGACTCATATCACAGCAAAGGCAAACCCGTAGTGATTGAATCAAGATGTGAATCCAGTAACTTGAACTACTTGAACATTGTGGCTTGGTAAACTATGAATTCTGTGAAGATCTCTCTATCCAGATAACTTTTTTTCCAATGTATAAACAAATATGAATATAACAAAACAACCCTTCTTTGCATATGGAAACACGACAACTGAAATCCCAGATTAATACAAAGTAACAATTCTTCCTAACTCATCTGAGCAAAAACTAGATGTCTTTTTTTAGATTAAATAAGAATTTTAGAATTCCAATAACCATGATCTTCTAGAACCCTCACCTGCATATGCTCGGATCGCTTCCAATCTGGCCACCTCCTTGGCCAACGACGGCAACTCCTCTCCCAACCCTTCTCCATCTAGAATACACAAATTCTATCCTTGCTCTTCATGCACAAACTCAAAAAAAAACCAACAAAAGAAGAGGAAAAACAAATATCAAAATAAAAACTTTGCATTTATGCGAACCTGAAACGGAGCTCCTAGAACAAACGGAGGAACCGAGATCGGCTAATTTTGAATTTGCAAGGCTGAAGAGGTCGCCGATACGATTGGAGAAGAAAGCGTAAGATGCAAGGCTTGATTCGAGGGTGCTGTTGAGATGAAGTAGGTTCCGTTCCAGATCATCGCACTGAGTCAGAAACTCGGCTACGAAACTCGGTGCTTGAGTTAGGTCCTCGTTGGTGCCGAGTTTAGCGTTGAGGGCGGAGGCAACCGAGGTGGATAGAGTCGATAGTGGAGGTAGACTTTGCAGAGAGTCCATCTGAGTCGGATTTTCCGTATCAAGCCATGGAAGATAAAGGTGATTAGGGAAATGAGGAATTTCGATGCTTCCACTGAGGAGATTCTGACCGAGTCGACTCTTAGCAGAAGAATGAAGCGAGTCGGATTCGAATTGGTATCGGGTCAACCCAAATCTGGATTAACTTTAAAGTGGGCTTTGGGATTTGACCTAACGGGGCCATCACTATCTTAATTAATTGATTTTCTTCCTAATAAGACAAATTGTTTTATTAATTAGCCAAATATGACATACAAAAATTTATTTTGATATCTACTATATTTATTATTATATTTAAAAATAATCAGTTATGGTGACGAGTTTGCCTAAATAATATTTTTTATTTAAACTTGTTACGTCGAGGTAATGAATTTTAATAAAATATAATTTTCTATTAAATTTCATCACATCGGTATAAAAATTCGGTTGATTCAGTTAACTAATTATTTTTTAACCACGCTAGACTCATTAAATTATTAAACACGAATGTACCAAAACTGAACTGATAATTAATAACTGAAAAATACTAACTACATGGCATGCCAAATGTACGAATGGCTCTCAATGCAACATACAATAGGCTTATATGTATCATCATAGAATCATTTATTAATTTGTAACTAATAACTGTAAAACATCTTATATCTGTAAATATCTAAAAATTGTAATCCTCTAATATCTTTAAATATTTGATAACTATAATCATCTGATAACTGTAAATATCTTATAACTGTAATCAGCTGATATATGTAAATATCTGATAACTGAAAATCATCTGATAATTGTAAACATTTAGAATTCATCATCATAAATATCATACTTGGACGGCTCATACCCAAAATCATTCATAAAACTTGATGAAAAAATTTATAGAAATATTTCACAATGAAAATTTATAAATCATACTAAAAAATAAAATGAGGTTGATTTATTTCAAGTCGTCATCAACTAAAATAATAAAATAAATAAACTGCACTCACTTTAACACTTTATTTATTTTTAAATCAAAATATAAATCTCACTAAACTTTAGATTTAAATCATTTTCCTTCCACTACTTTTAATACACAATTTATCAAAATTTCATATTCTGACAGTTTGCACTACCTTCAAATAAATATTATTCTGCATTAATTTATATACTGAAAAATTATTTTATTTGCACCAATAAAACTAAACTCGAATACAAATGATTAATATAAGGAGTCTAAAATACAATCGATTAATATAAGGAGTCTAAAATACAAACGATTAATATAAGATTGAGAAAAAATATAATCTGTGTCGCTGACCCTTTCCTTAGTCGCTCTCTCCTCCTTTGTCTTCTTTTTTTTTCTTCCTTTGAGATTGTATCGATTTTTTATAAATCATATCAACTTTTTATTCTTTAATTTTCTTTAGCCAGCGATGGCACCATCTTTGATGTTGATTGTCGACTGACGGTTCTCTTTTCTCTTTGTTTTTTATTTTATTTTTTTAATAAAAATAATTATGTTTGTGTTGCACATTTATCTCTGTCTTTATGACACGTTTTTTCAAAAAAAAAATCTTAGTCGTTTGTCTATTCTTTTATTTATATTTTTTTAGAGTTGGATTTGACGATACTATGACTAATTAAGATGGCGCTTATTCGAAATCTTGTTGATCTTCCCTGCTATGAACATTTAGATTGAATTTGGATACGTGATTTTGCGTTTGTGGATAGTTTCTCACGACGTTTGAATCTAATCTACAATTCTCTGTGATCTTTTAATATTTTAATTCCCTTTTATGATTTATTTATCGATGCAATCTAAACTGAGTTGTTGTAGCTAATGGGAAATGGGAGAAAAATCTCATGAACAGTGTTGTTTGGTTTCTAGAAAGCCCATTTTAATTTATTTTGCTCAGGGGAAAACTCTCCCCATTTGAAACAAACTTAACAGGAAACCCAAATTGTCGCCCAACGCTGTTCAGTCGCCTCCGACCAGCAGTGGAGTACACCGCCACCTCCAGCTGTAAAGCTGCCGTCTCACGACCCCAATCCTAGCCATTAATCGCCCAAACCCGTCATTATTCTATGTAAAATACAGAAAGCCAGTTCGTGGATCTAACTCTAATGTCCGTCGAACGTTCATCGTTGAAAGTCACCGCCCTTACCCATTGAAGCGCCTCCCTTGTTCGTTCATAGCTTAATGACCCATTTGCTGAGCCTCGTCGTCATTCGTCGTGGAGAGATCGTTGAAGGTTCGACGGAAACCCAAGCTCCTATTCGGTTTTTCATGATTTTCGACCACATTAGGCCTCCGTTCATCTCACAGCCTTCATAGTTAGGATCCTCTTGAATTTCCGTTCAAAATCCAATCAGGTCCGATGTCTCGCCGTTGCTCTTCCACCGTTCGCCATTGGGTAAGCTTTTGATCCCTTTTTCAATTACTTTACCATGTTTTTGGTTATTTCATTATACTGATTGGAGTTGAAAACAATGAGAGGAGTGTCGTGGGGTAATCAACCACCCTCAACCGTCCCCGTTGTTATCGCACGTGCCACTGTCGCACGTGGTGTTTGCCCACCGATAGAAATTTCCAAATCCGGTCTAGATGCACTAGATCAGGTTGAACCGGCCTACTTAGGATAAACCAGTTTGAACTTGAACTAGTCCCCTAAATCTACTCATCGAGTCAACTCAAACATTTGACTTTAATTGAGTCATGATATTTGATATGACCGTTAAATTTGATTTTGAATAGGGTTGACTTTGATAAAAAGTCAATTTTTTTCGAAAAGTCATATGTTACGTTTTTCGACGTTTGAGTTCGAATCTAAAGTTTGTTTTGTCAAATTCGAATCTGGTAAACTATTTTTTCAGTATTTTATTGTCTGATTCAATACGAATTTTCACGTTTAACTTATGTTTCTAATGTAATTGGTTTTGCCATTTATTTTAGACATTATGGGACGTGGAATTAAAGTTTAAGGGCATTTGAATAGAGTTTAATTGTTAACCGATGTGGCCAAAAATCAAGGTAATACATTATTACTATTTGCATGCTTTACAGATCACATTGATATTGGTTATTATATGAATGAATATTATTGGACAATTTATATACTTAATCATTACTGGACTCGAACAAAATTTGGTAAAAGTTTAGTAAATTGTATAACACTCGAGGGACTAGAATAAAAAATTGGAAGACTGATAAAATAATAATAGTTCAGTGATTAATCAATAAATCATATTGACCTCAAGATTCGTATTAACTAAAATAACTTGAAAAGTCATACTTAACCCGAAAGAGCTACCATTTCCCCTGTCAAATACCATATTTGTTTAGAGAAACCCTGATAATCAATTTTTAACTCTGAGATGGAAAAACACGCTTGGAATTTCTGATTCCTGAGCAAGCGTCGAAGACTAAATCACTGAAAGTATCATCTACATTTGAATGGTTCGAAATGACGTAAAGAGTGAGTCGAAAGAGAATGACCCAAATACCCTTGAGTATTGAAATGGCCAAAATGCCCTTAAACCCCATAAAAGATAAAATACCTTTAACTCCAAATTGACTGAAATAATAATGAGTACTAAAATGACCTAAATACCCTCAATACGTAAAATAAGAGGATGTCATTGGATAAACCTTGGAAACACCAATAAACTTAAGTGTTATACCACCCTTAAAGGTTTTGGAGCATGACCCTAGCACGTCGATCATTCTAGATACAGTTGCAATATAGAAATAAATAATATCATCGAAATACATGTTCAGCTAATGTTATCAGTATTAAGTAGTAAATATTCGTAAAATATCTCGATCCGAATGATTGGCAGGCATCGTAGTATTGGGAATTGTTCAGTTCGAGTTGACTTGATATCCTGATAAATCAATATAAATATTGAATTCAGTAAATTATCATTTTACCCTTATTGGATTAAGTTACTAAGAATCCTCCAGAAATCAAAATATCTGAAATGACCCTGATAACCTGAATGATAGAATCACATTTGTTATATTCGAATCTTAAATATTTATGATGTAAAGGTTCATGAATACCTTCTTGATACTCTTAAATCTTAAAAGTCTCGAAGCATCAATTTCTTAATGTTGATTAGATCTGTTAATGAACGAACCCTTTTATAAGGACCTCGATTCTAGAATCCGAACAATCTACATAAGTTTTATGTTTTCCCTTCCTGATAATTATGAAGTCCTTCTAAAAAATATATGGATCATCTAGTGCGTTCTATGTATGTTACATGACTATTTTATCTATCATAGAATACGATTTGTTATCTGGATGATTTATGAATATTTTAACTAATTGATTTTTTGATTTACCGTGATAAACTATGGCTACCCAATAAATGCTCAGTGGTTACATGTTTTACTGGAAAATGTAATATCCCTTATTTATGGATCATGAAACTATTGTTTACTACCTAAACTGTTTTATTGAGATACTCTTTGGGTAAGATCTAGAATATGGAGGTTCAGCTCTGATCAAACTAATAAATCCTTACAGACCTAAGGTGACCCTTGGGTAGGCTCTTAGGCCCGAGGTACTCCCTTGGGTAGGCTCTAAGGCCCCAAGGCACTCACTTGGGTAAATCATGGGACTACATTTTGGTGTACGGGTAGAGGACAGATATGTGATTTAAATAAAATTCATTGTCACTTTTACGATATTCATTATCATCCGGGTGAGATTATGAAATATGAAGGTTCAGCTCTGATCAAGGTAGTAAATCCTTATGGACCTATGATGACATTTGGATAGACTCTTAGGCCTCGAGATGTTCATTTGGGTAGGCTTTCAGGCGCTAAGGTACTCCTTTGGGTAAGCTCTGAGGCCCCAATATATTCATTGGGTAGGCTTTGAGGCCCTAAGGTATTCTCTTATGTTGGTTCATACGCCCAATGGGCCTAGGGTAAGTCCTTATAGATGCAGGTTTGGGGAACTGCATATCGGTGTTCGAATAGAGGGTGTTACAGTGAATTTAAAAATTTGTTTTACTATAATAAAATAACACTATTTCTAAACCATGTTTACATTCATTTCTGGGTTTGTGGGAACCTACTAGACATT